GTGGTTTTCCCCATCAGTTAACTTACTTTCAGGAGGAACATTTTCAGAGGTCCTCTTGATTGTGCGTCTAGTCTAGGACTACAGACTATGGTGAGAAAACTGCAGGCAGATAGGGATCTCCCTACTCATAGGAGAGAGGTGTGTTTGTCTCTGGAATCAAGGTGACTTCCCAATAATATATTAGATCATAGATTTAGCCTTTGTGTTTTATTGCTGTGAAGTTGCTTTTTCTTTCAAGGTCTTCCCCCACCCAGAGGCAAGGCAGCTTTAATTTTATTTTCTGTTTCTGTTCTGAGGAAATTTTCAAGTCACTTATTATCATTTATTCTGCTGTAGCTTTACTAGCTTAGACTTGTTAGTGAATCGACCCAAACTGCAGTAAGGGAGCTCTGTAAATCAAGGTAGAAAAGACTGTGGAATGTGCAAGGAGTATATGTGTATAGGTTTAAGATTTTCAGCCTTAACAAATTTATAAGGAAACAGTGTATTTGATTTTTATCCCTTCATATTAATAACATGGTTTCCCTTTTTTCCACTATCAGTACCTTATTTAGTGAACTTCCTAGTTTGCTTTTTTTAAAACATCTTTATTAAAAGATTCACATACTGTGCTACTCACTCATTTAAGTTGTACAATTCAGTGGTTTTTAGTATCTTCACTGAGTTGTGCAACCATCACCATTATCAATTTTAGAACATTTTTATCACCCTCCCCCCAAAATCCCATGCCTATTAGCAGTCACTCCCCATCCCCATCCCCCCCGCCTCCCAGCCATAGGCAGCCACTGATGTATTTTCACTCTACAGGTTTGCTTATTCCGGACATTTCATATAAATGGAATCATTTAATATATGTGGTCCTTTGTGATTGATTTCTTTCAGCTGGCACAGTTTTCAGGTTCATCTGTGTTGTGACACATACCTGTACTTCATTTCCTTTTATTGCTGAATGATAATCCATTGTATGGATAGACTACATTTTATTCATTCATCAGTTGATGGATGTTCGGTTTCTAGTTTACTTTCAGATTACTTCTCAAAAATAGTTACTAGTTCAAAACTTTAAAATCATTTTACAGTTTTGTGGATTTTACAGAGGTGATGATTTTTGCTTTGGACTTGCTAAGTTTGATGTTCCTATGGGATACACAGTAAGCGGTTGACTATGCTGCTTTAAAGCTGAGAGTTAAATCCGGTCTAACGCTAACAATTGGAAGTACATAGCACATAGATAGTAATAATTGAGGCCATGAATAAAATTGCCCAGAGGGTGTGTAAAGGGTAAGAAGGAAGAGGACTGAGGATAGAGCCCTGAGGAATGACAGTACTTAAGTGTAATTTGCCTCCTCTCCCCAAAAAGGCCTCACTTATTCCTGTTTGATGCAGAGTGGTCTGGCTTGTTCTGCATTCCACAGTTTGGCAGTATCTATAATATTTAAATGCATTTATCCTTTGTCAACACAGCGATTCTGCTTCTGGAAATTTATTGTAGAGATAAATAATCTGGCAAGTTCTGGATAAAAATTTATGTTCATTGTATTCTCACATAATCAGTTCAGGAGGGGGGAAAAGCCTCTCAAATGTTAGACTTTTAAAACGGTAATCACTTGATTTTTATTTTTATTATGAAAGGAATGCATACTTACTGGAAAAACAAATCATAAAGTACAAGGAAAGGTAAAGAAAATAATACCCTTCATAATCCTACTATTTACAGATATCTACATTTTGGCATTTAGTCTTACAATGTTTTTGTGACTGCATATACTTCAAATGAAAATATTTATAAATCTTTATAAAAAATGGAATTATCCTAAGTAAGTAATTGGAAACTTATTAATGTAATATATTGGGGGTGTCATTCTACATTAATTAACATATGGTAGATGTGTATCATTTCTGGCGGCAGTATTGATATGTACCGTTAATAACGTACCATTATTTAGCCAGTCCCCTCAGTGTGGACCAAAGGTAGTTTCCAGTTTGTCACTTCTATAAAGAGTATTATAGTGAACATCCTGTAAATAAAACTTTGCATGTCCATGATTATTACTTTTAGAGTGGCACTGCTATGTCAAAAATTCAGCTTTTTTATCCCCCCAAGAACTTTATTTAGGAATATTTGGAAATGTGGAATTTAAACAGATTTGCTATATGGTATGTGATGAAAAAATTTAACTCTCACTCAGCCTCCTGATCAAAAGGCGCATAAAGAGTCCTTAGTTTGAGACTGATTTTCCTGTGAGACAAAAAGTTTTAGTTATTGACTAATGTTCAAGATTTCTGACTGAGCCAAGCATTCGGTTTGTGGTAAAAATTTCTCTTTAATTGTTAGAAATGACAAAGTTAATATGTAACCAATTTTAGTGTTGTCTTTGCAGTGTATGCTGATGGTAGCATATGTTTAGATATCCTTCAGAATAGATGGAGTCCAACATACGATGTATCTTCTATCTTAACATCAATTCAGGTAAGCATGTGTTAGGATGCATCTTAACTTTTCAAGATTCTATGGGATATAATTGGCTCTTTTAGGATCAATTTAAAGGGCAAGTGAGCAAACTAACCTTCCCAACACTAAGGTAACCAGTGGCAGAGTTTGGACAAACCCTCATGATTTTTATACAACCGATCTGCTTTTTCATTCATGATCACATTGGATCAAATACACAATCATTCTGATCAAATTTAAGTATAAAGTGTTCTCACAGGTCAGGTGTTTGTTTTGTTTCGTTTGTTTTTTTGGGGTGTTTTTTTTTTTTGCCACACCACAAGGCTTGTGGAATCTTAGTTCCCTGACCAGGGATTGAACCTATGCCCCCTGCAGTGAAGGTGCAGCGTCCTAACCACTGGACCACCAGGGAATTCCCTCACGGGTCAAGTATTATTCGTGCCCACAAAGAGTCTTCTTGGAGAGAGATAAAGATGATTGTTTAGAAAAAAACATAGGGACCTCAAGAAACTGCCAAGTGCAGAGAAGCATTGAGTATGTTGCTCTATCCAAGAAATTCTATTTTAAATGAAAGTAAATAACTATTTGCCAAAGCACTCTGGCAGAATATTTCAGAGTTGACCTTGAATGACAGTTTGGGGGAGGGGTGGGGGGGGTGAGTGATGTTTTAGTTATGGATTTGAGAGGAGCAGAAGTAATGTTTTTGGTTTATGACCTTTTTAAAGTTCTTTCTGTCACACTTCTGCTTTAATTCAGGTCATCTTATAAAGTGTTTTCAGCTTTCCTGTTTTCATTCCCTTGCTGCTAGGTGCATATATTTTGTTGATTAAAGGAAACAAGGTACACTACCCAACTTACTGTCAGAAATTTGCAAACTTACCTCAGTAATAGAGTTTAACTTTGGAAAATGTTAGTTGCTAAGCTATTTTATAGATATTGTGTATTAACCAAATTAAGTTGTTTATTGTCTTAGTATGCTGAAGAATACTGTTCTTTTCCAATTTCTTTGAGATTAGAGGTATTAAGGCAATTAAGAACTATCTGTTTTGAAAGCTTAAGTTTTCTAGCAGCAGGAAACTTCTTACTGTATTTATCAAACCATTTCTGAAAGTACTTAGATCTAAAAATATGTAAGATGTACTAATTTCTGTCTTTCTTCATAGAATAATTTCCGTTTTATACAACTTCTGTGCTCCATATCGGACCCATGTTAATATAAAGAATAACTCTACAAATATGTTTTATCTCTGTCTTTCCTTCTAGTCTCTGCTGGATGAACCAAATCCAAATAGTCCAGCCAATAGCCAGGCAGCACAGCTTTATCAGGAAAACAAACGAGAATATGAGAAAAGAGTTTCGGCCATTGTTGAACAAAGCTGGAATGATTCATAATAGACAACTGATCTGTTAATCTTTTTCATCATTGTTGTGTATAATTTACCTCTCAGTAGAAAGGCTAACAAATTTTAAGTGCCACAGGTTTTAAGGATTCTGCAGAAAAAAAACCCTTCGGTTTAGAACCTACAAAAGCTTGTGTATCTTGATTAATGTACTTTTTATTGCATGGTGTGAACTAAGTTATTGCTTACATAAATTTGTAATATATCCTGTTTGTATTTTTTTCCAAGTGTATAATGTTGGTGTGGAGTTTTCATGACAGAATATACACATTTTGTAAATCTGTACTTTTTTCAAATATTGAATGCCTTATTTTTGAATTCTTTAGATTTTTAAATTGGAGAAAAGCACTTAAAAGTTTTTTATATATGAATATTACATGTAAAGCTGTTAAAATACATAACTTCAGTGCAAGAGACTTTGTCACTTATTTCCTTATCTGAGTAGGAGGGGTTATTTAATAAGTCTCTAGCTCTCCATCAATTGATAGTTTCATTTCTAATTTCAAAAGAACAGATTTATATTTTATCAAGAAATTCTTCAAATTTAATTCTAAACACCAATTATAATTTCAAACTTTATTTTGAATGTACCTATATTAGTTTCAGTTGAGCAATTATAGACATAACTGGTTTGATTCTGTCCAACTCCGTATTCAGGCCACTTGTTACTGTTCTTCATGCACTATTTACTGTTAAACTACCTTTTGGGATTTCACAATTTGCACCTCCACCACGAGGAATTGGCACCTCTACCATGAGCAGAGAGCTGATGCAACTTATTTTGCTGCTTGATAGCACTTTAAAAGATTTTTGATAATGAAGAAAAGTACACTGTCAACATTTACCAAAAACTCATGCCTCACTATTAACAATAAATAAGAACTTGTTGCATTGGTTTGAACAAGGCAGATATTTGGAAGGAATCTTGGTGTAATTTAAATATTTGAAAACTGCCTTTTAATGCAATTGCCTATCTTTTTATTCTCGAAAAATGTTTTAACACCAGGGCCTGCTGAGTTGCTTTCTCTTGTGGAGATTTTTTTTTTTTAATCTCCTAAGTTGTATGAAATTTGTACTGCATTTTTGTTTACTGGATAAACAAAACACAATATTGAAGAAAGCTAATAACAAAGCTATCCTATGCCTTCAGATAGTATAGAAAGTGGAAAATATACAAGTAAATTCTGTTGAACCACCTGTGTAGTCTTTCTAGTAGTTAAAAGAGCTATTTCACTAACCCCAAGAGTTTCTTACACATTCATACTAGCTTAGTAAGCTAACAGCTTCTTTTCTATTGAAAGACTGATTCCTCTGCTGGAAGACTGTAGGATGGCAATATCTATAGGTTCTATTTATTAAGCAAATTTTAGAAAGGATAAGTGCTGATGTTTCCCTTTAAAAGTTAATACTTGGGAAATTTGGGGGTAAGTATGATCTTAGGGAACTTTTGATACAATTGAGAGTTAACTCACTGTAATTATGCCCCCACCCCCCCAAAAAAAGATGCTTTATTTAAAGGTAGTTTTTGGTCATATCAAATGTGTGATACTTCTATATTCAGCTCTGAAACAGTTTCTTTAGACATGTACTCCAGTGACTGTCTCTTAGATTAAATATACAGTAGCTATGATAGTCTCCCCTCTTATTTCATTAAATGTTATTTGGATACTACTTCAAAATCTATTTTTATCCTTAACCTGCTTTCCCTATTTAAAACTGAAATATTTCAAGTATTGATAATTATAAGGAAGTTACATCTTACTTTGCAGGGGTTTAATGAGCTCTAATTCCTAAATTCAACACATGCATAAAACTCATATCTAGCCCCCATTCCTATTGGAAACAATTTTTAGGAATGTTCATCTCTCAATTACTCTTCACAATTTTTTTCTTCAGCCTTGGAACAGATTCCTATTTCTTTGGTTGAATACCAGATGCACTTCAATTTACAAAGTCATGTCATGCAAAGAATGTTTACTCTAAAATTTACTACATACATTTTATAAATGTATGGTACGGCAAGAGGCTAGAACTAATTTGGTACAAATTTGGATTCATGTTAAAGATTAAGTGCATTTGTGATGTGCAATTCCTCTGTAACAGTATTTCTAACATAACTCTGTGCAAGGCACTATTCTAAGCACTTTAACATGATCATATTTCAAACTCAAGAGTAATCTTATGAGGTGGGTACTACCATATTACAGATGAGGAAACTAGGTGCAGATCAAGTAACTTTCTCAAGGTCAACCAGCCAGTATCTGATAGAGCTGGGATTTGAACCCAGGCAGTCTGGTCTTTTAGCCAATAACTATACTATCCCTTAAGAGATGTTAAGGGATTGAGTTAAGTGTTAAAATTCTACTGAACTTAAATATTCATCCCAATTTGTGAAAATATCATGTTGAGTTTTATATAGTGAAGAGGTTTTCACCATTTTCCACTTTTTTTTTGGTAATGTAAACAAAGTCTGGATATAGGAACACTCTGATCTCTGATAGAAAGCACTCTTGACTTATACACCAATTTTTTTCTCCTTCCTTAGAAATATCCTTGAGTCTGTACAGACAGACCCCAAAATTTAAAAGTTCCATGAATATGAATAACTTCTGAAACTGATCTAAAAATTCTTCCTCGTGTAGTGGAAGGTAATGGAGAGAAAAGCTATTGAAGGTGGCTTATTTAGTAAGTCTGTTGTGTGCCCAGTAAACGAGGTACCTGTCTTAATTTATTCATGTAGTACTTTTTTTTTTTTTTTTTTTTTTTTTTTTTTGCGGTACACAGGCCTCTCACTGTTGTGGCCTCTCCCCTTGCGGAGCACAGGCTCCGGATGAGCAGGCTCATGCGGAGCACAGGCTCCGGATGAGCAGGCTCAGCGGCCATGGCTCACGGACCCAGCCGCTCCGCGGCATGTGGGATCTTCCCGGACTGGGGCACGAACCTGTGTCCCCTGCATCGGCAGGCAGACTCTCAACCACTGCGCCACCAGGGACGCCCCATTTAGTACTCTTTTAAAAGACAGAAGTCTGGGGCTCAAAAAATAATTTAGAGTTATGTCTAAGGTAACCTCAATTCTCCCAGGTTTTAAGAGAGATCAAGTTTTTAGGTCTTGGTGTTATTACAATTCCTTTCTACTGGATTCAGCAATGCAGAGTCCCAAAGGAATCTGGTACGTGGGGATTATGTATGTAAACACAAAAGTCCATAGGTGGAAAGCTATTAAAGGTAAATGAAATTGTCCATGACAGGGGCCTTGTGCAAAGATGGTATTTCAGTTCCCATCTAGTTGGGGAAAAACTAAACTGTTGTCTGATATGGGGAAATTCTAGTTACCTTGTTCTAATATATGATATAGAGCACAAAGATATATTAGAAACACACACACAGATGTGTGTGCTGTTTTTTCAGTAATTTCTCCCCACCATCACTACAGGTTTTTAGAAGAACTTTGTCAATAATAACCTGAGGTTTTTAAGTTTTCTGTTCCTAGCATGGACTAGGGCTTTCTTTTAGTTGGGCCCAAAAGATGAACGAGGTGCACCCTATACAAAACTCTCTTAGTTCAGCAACATTAGTTCCTTGCTGGTTGAAATCAAGAGCCCTGGAAGGAAAAGCTCCAAGTTTCCCCTTTGGCATATGGAGGACTCAGACTTGGGCTAGAAGCCTGCATGGACTGTCAGGAACTCTTGCCATTGACTTAGTGCTAAAGCTTGGCCACAAGATGCTTTTGTTTACCATTGACTTCTGGAATCATATATTTGGAAAGACTCTAAACATAGAGTGTACTTTGCTGAGTAAAAGCAAATAAGCTTTTAGCTGGTTAGAGAGGTCTTTTGGTGGTGATGGTCTTCGTTTGGTTACAAGTGTGATGCTTCTGTAGTCCTTTGGGGGGATATTGGAGCTGACCTCTGTCTCCATCAACCTGAATCATTTAGTTGTCATTCTTGCTGGAACGCAGGAGGGCTTTTGTGGTGTCTTGAGGGCTGCCAAAGTGCAAATGTAAGCACACTTAAGGCAGACCTCTTAATGCTGCTTCCTGTCTGAAGTCCTCTTCCCTTCCCCCTTTACAAACAAGGCCTTGTGCCGAGAATACTGCAGCCCACCAGCTAAATTGGACTAGCAGCACTCTTGAGCAGAAGAATGTCAAATGCCGAGAGGTTTGCAGCTCTTTGGCTGGCATCTGCATAAAGTCATTCTACAAAACTTGAGTTGGGAGATTTTATGTTTTTATGTTTTATGTTTTTGTGTTGGTGCTAGTAGAAAGACAACAGGAACAGGAAGCTTCTTGTTCTTATAACCATCCTGAGCAGAGAAGAGAAAAGAATCCAGAGACTTTAGCTCATGGCTTCAGCTTCAGCTAAAGGCCTAGAATATCGCCTCCAAAGAAAATCTAGATTAGTGACCTTGCTGTATTGTAGTGGGCCTTGGCTATAGGACTGTACCTGCATGAACACATAAGACTGTGGTTTCAGGTGGAGACTCCCCGGAACATCCGCTGGAAAGCTGCCTTTAGAATGAAGACTGTCAGTCCCAGGGTGGGTACAAGAGATCTCTCGCAGGCAGGCCAGGAAGATCAGCGAGGGCAGTACTGGGGCCTGGTGGTAAGTTGATGATACCATCTGTTAGGGAGAAAGTTTCCTTCCTAGCTTTCGTTAGCCCTTACACATTGGTTCTTTGGCAGGGGCTGGGTATTGTTCACAGAGCAGCTTGAGAACAGACTACAGTCACCATGGCACCCTCTCAAGACCTAAGTTTGAGGGATCAGGCTGTAAGAGCAACAATATATGTACCAAAGATTGGAGCCAAACACTGGGAACTGCTTTCCAGATAACCTCTGGCAGTGTATGCACAGGCCTAGGGAGGAGGCCAACAGGACAGCAGTGGACCTCCAAGGGTCCAAGCTCTGAATCCTCTGGGGACACTTTTTAATTAGCGGCTTTGTTTTTTGTTATAAAAGTAGAACCTAGTCATAAAAAATAAATTTGGTAAGCACAAAGGTAGAAGGAAGCATGAGTCATTCTCACCACCTGAGAAGTTGAGAACAGCTGGTTTAAGGGGAAGTGAGGACTGTAGGTGTTGGTCCAAACCCAAATGTTTCCAATAGTCTGGGGCCCAAAATTCACACCCAAAGTGATAAGGAATCTAGTCAGTTTACAGTGTGAGACTCCAGGGCAAGCCTTCTGCCAGGCAGCTATGTTCATGGAGAAAGGAGCATACCCACAGCCTTTGCAAGCCCCAGACCCCTAGAGGTAGGGATTCCAAGGCTGGCCACGTGCTGACCCCTTTCCCCATCCTGCTTCTGTCCCCTGTCCAAAACAGCCTGGCATTTAATTTGTGCTGCATTGTTCAGTGCCTGCTGCCATTTGTTCTGTCAACATAACTACTGATACGTTGGCACCTAATGGGTGCCAAGCT